CTTGACTTTGTCTCTGAAATGTCATTTTAGTGGTCTTCTTGCTACTTCACCCTCACTCTCTTCTCTACTGGGGTTTCCCTTAGTCTGCAAATGTAGTTCAATTCTCAAATAAATAATAGGCTAATCTGCATCTGCATACCATTCCCTTTGTACTCATCTTCAAAGTTTTGAGCCCTTTCCTTTCACTCTCATATCTGATTCCATCTACTCTGCAGAAATTTAGCCCCTTTTAGCTTACCAGTGGTCTCCAGAGTATCATTTTTTATCAGTAGTCTTGTTAATTTCCATGTTACTTTTGACATTATTTATGACCTCATTTTATAATAAGGAAACAGTTTTTAACTTTATTGTAGTAAATAATGCAGTATATATGTTATATATATGTATATGGTTTTTTTAATAATGGTAAATACCACTTCTTCCTTTAAACATTCTCTTCCCTTGGATTTTTTATTACATTGATTTTCCTCATTTTTAAAAGAAAACTGGCTTCTCCTATTCTGTATCAACATTTTGTCTTGTCTTTTAAAAAAGAAAATGGATGCTCCCTAAGTCTATCTATGCCTCTTTTATCTCCTGTCCATTTCTGTTCTGAACCCACTGCCAGGATGGCAGTTGTTGTATGCATTTAAATGACTCCCACATGTGTTCTCTGGGTAACTCTTGCCATTTTACACACCATATCTCTGACTGCTTCTAGAATGTTCTGTTATTTCAGCCTCAGCACACACTGTTTGAGCTCATGTTCTCTTCCCGCCCACCCCCTTCTCTTTGCTGAATGGGATCTGCACACACAGACATACTTCCCTAGCTCTTCTGGCCATTTGCCTTCTATTTCTGATATAACATAGCCTCATCTTCCAGGGCAGAAGCCAGACTGTTTCTTAGTCCTTCTCCTTTAGTGACCATTTTCATTTATTTCCTAGGTTTAGTATTTATACATCATGGACTGCATTTTCTTTTTCATTCTGCCTCTGTGCACAGGCTCTACAGATCCTCCAAGCCCTCACCTCTTCACCTTTGTCATGAGTTGTCCACTTCCACCTTGACTGCTTTCCAATGTCATGTCTTCTTCTACAGCTTCCAGAAGCAGATACAAGAGATTTTAAAAACTCTTGATGTGCGAGTAATACTTTTATATTCTGAGAATATTTTGTGTCTCATATATTGAAGACATTGTTCAGTGTACTATAGCTGCATAAGGTTTCTATTGCCTCATTCATCTCTAATACATGCTTATAGTTTTAGAATGTATCTTGCTTATTAATACTTAGGGAATACAAAAATTACTAACTAGACACTATAAGGCCTTGCTGGCTGTATCACTTTGAGACAATTTACTTCTTTGAGTCTTACTTATCTTATGAGAACCAAGTGAGATTAACATAAAGTACATTGCAGACTGAATCGTACATATAAAAATAAAATTTCCTACATGAATCATTTGAAGTTTTCTAATGTGTCTACTTATTTATAGTATTTCCAAAACACAATACTACTCAGTTTCAGTTATACCCAATCATCAGCATAAATGGCCCGGAGGGAGAGACGTGATCAGAGGGTATGGTGGGTTACCTTTCATTCTGAGTAGAGATCAAAGAGGTCAGGAGACGGACAAAAGGCAGAGCAGACACCAAACAGGCCGTCCGTGTCCACCAGTAAGATGAGCTTAATTAGCTACCATTTCTCTCTGCTTAGGGCTCAGAGCTTTTGTGAACTTCCCTGGAGGCTGTATGAAATCCCCATTTGTTTGGCTCAAGCTAGAGCAGTTAAGAACATCTTATTATTTGGGTTTCTCTCCCTAATTCTAATTGGTCTCTATATTATTATTATGAAATTGTTTTTGTAATAATGATGTAAGGTTTCAGGATACTAGGATATCACTCTTTGGTGTTGAAAAACACTTGGTCAGGTTGCAAACCATTCCACTGTAGACCAGAGGGCTCATGGACTCTGACACAGGATGGGGAAACTTCCTTCTGAGTCATCAGAGAAGGGCCAGGTTTTATTTGTGTTAGTCTAAGTGCAACTTTTATTGCTGTAGTTGGGAATTAGTGCCCATGTGTTGAGACATACAGGAACATTTGCTGCGGTGGTTTTCCTTGCCTTAGTGTTCCCATCTCACGTATCCAATCCTTGAGTCTCCATTCCTGTTATTTCACAAAAAAACTGGTCAGGCCAGTTGTGGTAGCACATGCCTGTGGCCCAGCACTCAGGAAGGGGAGGCAGCAGGACCGCAGGTTTGAGGCCAGCCTGGGCTATGGCGTTAAGACCTTGTCTCACTGGTCAACAACATGTGTCTCAGTGACCACTTTCTTCACCATGAGTGTTTTCTTCTCTGGGCATCTGAGCCACCACAGTCGCCTTATTTCCCTCCTTTCTCATATCTGTTCCTTGTCAAGACCTGGAAAACAAAGCCTGGAATCTGCAGGATTTAGATTTGACTTAGAAAATGTATTCAGAGTGCTGAGAGCTATTCCCAGTGTGTTCCTCAATTAGATTTTTTTTCTTAGTTTTGTTTACATATTTTAGTGTTTATTTTATATTCATTTGTCACAAAGTTGACTTTTCCAAACCTTCAGTATAACCCTTTCATTTTCTTTGAAATGGTACCTTTTGGCCTGGTGTGGTGGTATACTCTGTAATCCCAGCTACTTGGGAGGCAAAGATCAGGAGGATTGTGGCTTGAAGCCAGTCTGAGAAAAATATGTTAGTGAGACCCCTCATCTCAACCAATAAGTCAGGTGTGGTGGCTTATGCTTGTAATATCCTACTTATGTGGGAGGCATAAGTAGGAGGATTACTCCTGGGGCAAAAATGCAAGACTCCGTGCAAAAAAGAGCTGCGGGTGTGGCTCGAATGGTAGAGTTTTTGTCTAGCAGACATGAAGCTCTGAGTTCAAACACCAGTACCACCAAAAAAAACCCAAACAAAAAAATACTCAAGGTACCTCTCTAGCTAAAAGGTATCTTCTAGCTAACTTACAAGGATCTGTACCAATACTGGATAAGCTCCAATGGCAGAGAACTTACTAACAAAGACATGTTTCTCAGCTGGTACACTTTGCAGACTCTTGTTATAAATTTGTGAGTAAATTACACTTCTGCCCTGGGGATTAAGTTGAAGATGTGGTTATAGGAATCTTCTTCTTTCCCACACCACCCTGCATTTTAAAAATTCTTCTGGGGACAGTCCCATACCATCGCTTTCCTTCCTGTGCGCTGCTTTCCCTGCAGAGAGGCAGCAGAAAACCTAAGTCAGGTTCTTTCTAGTCTGTGTCGTGTCACATCTCAAGGGCTACTGTTTCTGCGAAGTTGTTAGAAAGTGTCATCGAGGAAAGGGGAACAGAGCACTGGAGAAGATGCAGTTCTGTATAATTGCAGTATTAAGTATATCTGAGCAAATTCCCACTGAACAACATACAAACACCTAAACAACAAAGGACAAGAATGGAAAAAAGGTCACAATAAAGGGGGGGACTCACGGGAGAAGGGAGTAAAGGAAGGAAGTTAAGAAGGTAAATGTGGGTGATGTACTTTCTATACAAGAATGAACATAGAATTTTTACACCTGTTGAAATCATCATAAGATGGGGGACTAAGGTAGAAAGAAAGGAGAAAAATGGAGGAGATGAGCCAATTTGAGTTACAATACAAATATACATGGAAATGTCATAGTGAAACGCTCTGTATAGATATCTTAAACAAACAAAAATGCCTTTTTTCATATGAAGGACATGAAGCTAAAACAGGTCCTGTCTGGGTGTTGGTACCAGCAAGGGAGGAATTTAAGGAAAGGGTGTAGCAGGGTAAAGGTGGTAGAAATTTTATGACATGGAGCAATAAGACCTGTTGAAACTATTCTAAGAGTGGAGAGAGGAGAATAAAGAATGATGAAAGGGTGAATCTAACTAAGATATATTTTAAGCACTTTTGTAAATGTCACAGTGTACCCCCAGTACAACAATAATATGCTAATATAAAAGGAAATAAAAAGTACCCTATATACCCAAGAAGATTTAAATCATATTTATGCAACAGCTTGTACAAATGTAATATTCACATTCAGTGTATGTTTATGTGTGTTTTCACTCTTATGTAAGAACCAAAGGGTGAAAACAGCCATGATGAACAGGTAAATAAAATGTCCCCCAAATGGAATATTATTCATCCATAAAAAGAGTAAAGGCTTGACATGCAGCACCAATGAATGAACCTTGAAAATATGCTAAGTAGAAGAAGCCAGGAGCAGAGAGTCACATGTCGTATGACCCATTCTCATGAAATGTCCAGATGGGCAGAGCCTTAGGGACAGAGAGTAGAACAGTGATCATTAGGAGCAAGGAGAGTCAGTGTCTGTCAGTGCTGTGGCCAGCTGCTTGGGCAGCCAGAACAGTCGGGAGCTAGTGGGGATGGTTGCATAATTCTGAATAGACCTGAAACCACTCAATTGTACACTTTGTCTTTTTTTTTTTTTTTAAGCACACTATGGTCTGTTTATTCAGTTTATTCCAAACATTTCAGGTGTGTTTCATCGTGCCTGATCAAGGACCAGCTTTCACTTCGGAGGTTGTGTGTGTGTGTTTGTGGGGGCGGTGGTTTATTCACTTGATTCCTCTTCCCCCAGTCTCAATGTGAGCTGAAGAAGAGTTGAAGGAATCAAGACTAGGATTCAGAAATTATGCATTATGCTCCTATGATGTGAGTGACCCTTGGCGAGATGCTGCCACCTTTATGCACTTGGTGGACACAAGGATCCTGACGTCTGCCCTGTCAGGGTTGCTAACATGAGGGGCCTCCAACAGGTCTTGAGTGTCCAGCAGGGCGTCTTGTATGCATAAGTGTTTGACAAATGTGTGTTAAATGAATGTTGACTTAACTAGAAAAAGGCTTCCTAACCCTAAAATGGGTCAGTGGGAGGTTATGACATTAATAAGTTCCCGTATGTTGAACCAAATGTATTCCTAATTTACGATCACACCAAATCCACTTCTTTTTTAGGGCTTCCAGTATTAAAACATGTGCTGACACCAAGAATAAAGGCAACACATGTTGCTTTTGATTCTATGAAGAGCTATTTAGATGCAATTTATGATGTTACCGTGGTTTATGAAGGGAAAGATGATAACTGGCAACAGAAAGAAGCGCCGACCATGATTGGTGAGTGTGCTCTCACATACGGAGTCCCAGCACTATGTGATACACACAAGTCATAGATTCTTAATGAGTGGTGACTCGTTTTTTAAAAAAATAGGTAAGTGTACTTCCTTCATTCCTTTTTGTTGTCTTTTCTTTCTTTCTTGGGACAGGGTCTTCTTGCTATGTAGCCCAGGCTGGCCTGGAACCCATGACCCTCCTGCCTCTGTCTCCCGAGTGCTGTGATCACAGGTGTGCATCACTATCCTTTGCCCTCCTCTTCACATTTACTTGGATTTTTCAAGATGTTATTAATCTGTAACAGTCAAAATTTCTAACAAAATTTGGTACTGCGTTTGGTACATCTTTACTTCTTTTCGTGTGTGTGGTGTGTGTGTGTGTGTGTGTGTTTTGTGTGTGGTGAGACTGGGGCTTGAGCTTAGGGCTTGGTGCTTGCAAAGCGGACAGTCCACCACTTGAGCCTCACCTGCAGTCTGGTTTAGTACTTCTTGACTGCCATATTAGTCTTATTTTCATGGTGGTGGGATTTGAACTCAGGATTTTGTGCTTGCTAGGTTGCTAGGCGGGCACTCTTCCCTACCACATCCTAAATGCATGGAGGAAGAAAACCCATTTTTGGCACTGGCTCCTTCTGCCCTTCTTGTTCACTAAATGTAAGCCAACAGTGGCTTGTCACCCTATGTATTCATTACAAATTGTCTGTTCTTGAAAAAGATGGTTTATCCAGTTGTCACATCCAGAAACCATTAAGAAAATAAAAATCTATCAGTTCATTCAATTAAGGATAAAGTATTTCTACAAGAAAAAATACACAAGAGTAAAATCAAGACTGAAGATAAACTCATTTGTAACTTAATCACAGATACTTTTCACTAATGGCTAAAGTATTCCTACAAATTGGTGAGAAGATGATCAGTAATTTAAAAGAAGAATGGATTAAGGATAAGAACAAATAGTTCACAGAAAAAAGTGTTCGGCCTTATTCAGAGAGAAATGTAAATTAACCATAGTGGGATAGTATCTATCAGATTGACAGAAATCCTAAGGTTTGCTAACAGGCAGGAACATTTATACTTCACTGTTAGAAATGAGTGTAGTAGAACTTGTGTTGAGTGTCTATCATATTTATAATGTAACATGTTAGATTCAGCATTCCCACTTCTGAGACAGTATTCCACACATACACCTATGCATATGAGAAAAGACACACAGTTTTCCTTGTGGTTTGTTGATTTTAATTGTGAGTTGTGACCTGTAGCTTGTTGATATAAATGGGCTCTCATTGGGTCATTATAATCTACTGGAGATTACAATTCATTTTAAGTGATGTGATTTCTCATGCAAGTTGCATTAGGTATAAAATTCCACAACTGGATTGTTTTAAGTACTTTGTGACTGAGTTTCATTAGTAGTAAAACCTCTGTACATAGTGGGCTGTCATTTCCCACTCATATGTTAGAGCCCATGATGTTGCTCGATTGTTCATTTATATGCCCCAAGCCAGTGTTCCTCAGAGCATTTAGGAGGATTATAGAGCCATGAATCATGGAGAGCAGGGCTTCAGCTTCATTTGTGACCGCTGACGTTGCCTGTCTCAATGTTGCTGCACAGGTTCAGTGCTAAGGAATCAGCTGAGACTCTCGGCATCCCTAGTCTGACAGCCAAGGCTTTTCAGGAGCTTCACATCAAAGAGTGTGGCAGCTGGCAGTGCTCCTTGTCCTTCCATTGTGGAGTGCAAGTTTCATTTAAAGGGAAGCCTTTAAACTAAGCCTGTCTGGTCATCCTCTGGTGATTTATCTGCACTGGTCATCAGAGAGCTCCATGGATCTTATCCATAATGGCAGAGGGGGCACAGCAGAATTTGATTGTAATTGCTTTTAAAAAATCCTGTTTCTAAAATGAGTGGTCTACCATAATGAATTGTATGCTTAATGATCGTTGATATTCTGTTAAGCATTCTATATAATCCTAGCAATATTTTTCCTATTATTATTATATTACATATACATATTTCCTATTTCCATTAGCATTTTCATATTGCAGGACAAATATTTCATATTGGAGGGGAAAGTTACAGGTAATCCAAAACAACTCTACAAGCACACTTGTTTAGATACAGCTCCAGTGAGTGGATATTTTCCTTTAACTCTTTGTTTTTTTAATCATGCCTTATTTTTTGGTTGTTATTGGTGTCCTGGGGTTTGAATGCAGGGTCTCACACTTGCTAGGCAGGTGCTCTACCATTTGAGCCATTCTGCCAGTCCTTTTTTGTGGTGGGTTTTTTCAAATTAGGGTCTTGCGAACTATTAGCTCAGGCTGGCTTCGAACCGTGATTAGCATAGTACTCATCTCTGATTATTTCTGGTGCAGTGCTGTAGAGTGTAAGGAAAGCGTAACAACTGCACTTCAAATGTTAGAAGTCAGTACTTTGTGCTTGGGAGGCGTCCAGCAACACCTGTCAGCTTCAGGGGAAGAGGCACTGGTCCTATGAGGTGTAGGGGCACTGAAATGTAGCAGACGCTTTTGTTGTTCTCCTAAGCCTGCACGCACTCCCATGCTCGCAGCACACGGTTCTGTGTGGCACGTGCTGTTATCTCCTGGCATGATGAAGAAAATGAGGCTCAACAGAGCTGGTGATGATGGAGCCCCTCAGCCAATACACTGTGGTTAAGTGCCCCGCTGGGAACTGGGAGAACAGCAGTGGGTGACACTCGGGGGTTATAATACTGAAGACAGGAAATGTGTGACAGAAGTATTTTCTTATCTCAAAAACACCACAAAAAATGGCTGGTGGAGTGCCTCGAGGTGTAGCCCTGAGTTTACACTCCAGTACTGCAAAAAAAAAAAAAAAAGTACCATGTTGACTGGGTAACTATTAATTATGGGGATCCAGACCATTAAGTGGAGGTAAGAAAAAATAGGTGTCAGAGTCTGTCGTTTTATGTACCAGAAACAATGAGGTAGGGTGAGAAGTTGTAATAAGGCTGGTTAGAAGTTGCAGGAGCTAACACATACATGCTGTGTGCTAGGCACTGTGCCACGTGCTCGCGCTTTCCCCCGTCAGGCAGTGTGCTTCCTGTCATCTCATCCTCACAGAGGCCTGAGAGACGGCCAGGGTGCACCACTGCCCATGCCCAACCCCTCATAGTTCTGTTCCTAAGAGAACCTAGAAGCAGCTCTTTGATTATGTAGGAGAAAATAGAATAGGAGGAAAGTGAAGGCAGGAATATTGTTTGAGTGCTTTGCTTACTTACCATCAAAGCCAGTTCACTCCTCAAAGTGCATAGAAAGACAGGGTATTTTTGATGACTTAAGTGCTTCATGTTACCAAGGCTTATGAAAGTAAAGAGCACCTTAGAGTATTCAACAGAGGGGGTGTGTGGGGTCAGGGGAGTAAAAAATTTTCAAGGGTAAGCCTTAAGTCTTCCTCAGGCTGTGGAATGCATAATTCACTGTTTCTTAGAGTATGCCTTTGAATACATTTTCAACTTGAGATAAAAGTCTCCTGCTCCTCCTACCTACCTAGGGAACATAGTCTTCTCTTAAATCCCTGAAAGCTGTTTCATTGTTCCTTAAGGAACTTCAATATGTTAATTTTCTCACATGGAGTTCCTAGGCTTAGAGTTTTGTTTTTGAGGGGGGGAGGTGTGTGTTCCTGGGGTTTGAACCCAAAGCCTTGCACTTACCAGACAAGTGCTGTATTACTGAGTTACATTCTCAGCCCCTGATTTTTGGATGCAGGGTTTTGCTGTCTAGCTCAGATTGGCCTTGAACTTGATCCTTCTACCTGAGCCTCCTGTGTGCTGGGATTGCAGTAGAGTCCTTCTTATAATAAATACTGGCCTCATCCCTTGTATATCTCAGGCAGAAAGATGGTCTCCTTTTTTCAAATCAGTATGCCTTAATGACAGTTATTTAAGGGCTCATCGCCTTTCCATAGTAAGAATTTTTATTTCCGCCTCCCCCCCTTTTTTGTTTGTTTGTTCTTTTATTTTGAGATAGGGTTTCACTATGTAGCCCAGGTTGACCTTGAACTCTCAGTCCTCCTGCCTCAGCCTCCAAGGCACCACCACACCCAGCTCTAACACTGTATAATATGTTAAAATTTGTTCAGGACCAGGAAAGGCAGGAATATCAGTATTTAAAACCAGTAGTCAAGTCACAGACGAAAGACAGCTGCTTGTCCAGGTTTGTCGGCTGTGCAGCAGTTAGTATCAGAAGCCGATTTGTCACGCCAGCACAGGATGATTGAGTGCTCTGTGTGCCCAGTTCTTTGCCAGGTCAGGAGGCCTAGCAGTGAGCTACAGACACTCCTTTGCTTTAGGAGCTCACTGTCTGGAGGAATATGGCAGGAAATTGTGTGCTGGGTGAGTGCTGGCTGGCGTCTGAATGGAGTGATGAATGTGCTGGCAGTCAGTGTCTCTGTCCCTTCAGATTGGGTGGGGACTTTTAGTTAGAGTTAGGCTTCCTATTCATGGACTGCCTAGAGAACTAAAAGCTGTTACAACCTCTGGTGGCTGCCGGTTTAATTAATAACTTTTGTAATTGTAGTAGACTTGGAAATTAAAACATGCTTTTCCATTCCAGCTTGAAACTCCAAACCACAGGTTTATGGTTTTTGTTATTTAAACATTTTTGCCTTATTACTTTATTTTCATTGTAAGTTACTTTATAGAATCATGAGTTCTACAATAGTAAAAAGTAAATATTTTTGTTCTTTGTTAGACTTTCTCTGCAAAGAATGTCCAAGAATTCATATTCACATTGATCGCATAGACAAAAAAGATGTTCCAGAAGAACAAGTGTACATGAAAAGATGGCTTCATGAACGTTTTGAGATAAAAGATAAGTGAGTACAGCAGTTCTAGCACCGCATACACCTTGATCAGTTTCACTATAGTAAACAATCTGAAATGAATTTAAGCAGTTTCTATTAGGTTGAGAATGCTTTTTACAAAGTCAAGCTAAATCTTATTCCATGCATATCTGTTTGTGTTTTAAACTTTAGTTTTACAAGTCACTGTAAAAGAAATTGTTATGGTAGACCTATCTATAGTATTTCCTGGACAGTAATACTATGTGGTAAGATGTAAATAAAACACTTGTTAAAAAGAAACCTTTTGGATGTAAGATGCCCATACCTGCCTTCCTGTGTCAGACAAAGTGTTATCACTGTACGCAGATGAGCTGCCGATTTGCGGGCTTTCCTTGCACAGAAAGCAAGGGCATGGGACTGCAGGATTGTGTCCGACACTCAGGTGGACATGACACCAGTGTATTTGTTAAAAGATGAAGGGTCACTTGCCATTTTTGCAAGGAAAATGTCTCCATTCTATGGTTAGTATGTTGGGGCCTAAATAGTTCCTGGCATCGATGGTGTTTTGTCCATGCTAACAGCACTTTGGAGTAAACAGTGCTGAACGTTGCAGAGAGTTGTGTGTCATTAAACTGTAGGCATGCTTGCATACCTCTCAGGTAGGCACAGCTTGAAGAGTTCAGAGAGGAGTGAACGATGCATCTGCTGAAAAGAGAGCCCTGAGCCAACATGTGATGGGTGACGTCAATATACTGTTAACATCTTTGATTAAATAAAGACATTTTAGGATTTCCTTTTCTTTTGGTGAGATAAAAAGTGATTCTTAAGCTAGGTGCTGGTGGCTCATGCCTATAATCCTCGCTACTTGGGAAGCTGAATTTGGGAGGATTGTGGTTCAAGGCCAGCCTGGGCAAATAGTTCACAAGATTCCATCTCCAAAATAACCAGAGCAAAATGGACTGGAGGTGTGATGAAAGTGGTAGAGCACCTGCTTTGCAAATGCAAAGCCCTGAGTTCAAACCCCAGTCCCACCAAAAAAAAAAAAAAAGTGAGTCTTAGGTTTAGATGTGGTATTTGTGATATTTAGAAGTTGAATTTTCTTCACGTATTTTCTTGGATGAAAACCTCAGGATTTTTATATTCTGTTTCTTTTCATATGAATGAAAGTTCTATAGTTTCTGAAGCATATCCTACTTTTTGAAAGATATGTTTTCAGCATTTATACTTTTTAATCCTCTTTGAAAAGACATGTCCATTAACTAGAGAATACACCATTACTAAGTCTGCATTGAAAAATACCATTTAAAAAATAAAGACTTAAAAACTACTTCTAGAAATTTTACCCAAGTCTTTCATTCTTCTAGTATGCTTCTGTTTGGGAGACTCCGTTGTTCTTCCTTTTGTTTTATAAATATTTCGTAAATAGCATTCTGGGTTAACTTAAGTGAAAATTATTAAAAGTGTAACAGTTAAATTTAGTGTTAAATTTGTATATTTCATTCACTTACAGTGGTATATGAAATAATTTAGTAAGCCAATCATTCAGGACTACTTTGATTATGGGAGAAATTTGAATACTAAGATCTATGTATATTGATATGAAAATATGTTTTCAAAATGAAAGACTAAATGTGTTTAAATTCCATTTATTTTGTATTACAGATATTCATATGTATTTAGGATGAATGCATATTTTAAAACAGTGGATCTCTGTAGGGATGTAATTAATGATGCAGAAGAAGCATTTTCCCTTTCTGTACTTTTTGTGTTTTAGGCTGTTATTTCATATTCTGATGTTACAGCCTTATATTTTTTAAGTAAGTTGGGGAAATGAATGAACTATACTATTGTTTGCTTATTTTGTCTGCTTTTATAATGCCATGGGAATAAGGGTTTTTTGGTGAGACTCCGTAAGAACTGCTGGTCTTTTCTTTCACTTCTAGTGAGGTGGAGCTATAGGAAGGAGGACGAGAGGCTAAAATGGTCATTATCCCTATGTGAGTCAGACTGCTACAAAATTCTATAGACCAAAAGTTTAAAAAACAAAATCCTCATCAACTGGCTTTAAACCATGTGTTTTGAAATGAAGTTCATACTTAGTAATCCCAGAGCATAGTGCAGATATTTTAAAAGAGTGTGAACGGTTGTACCACCTTTCTGTTTCCATATTCATCCTTATTTTTCAAGGACCTGGATTTTCCCCAGCACGATAGACACCCAGTAGATTAGATGTTGAACTTGAATATTGAAATGACTGAAACTGAAACTCAATTCTACTTTTCATTCTGGCCATAGGTTGCTTATAGAATTCTATGATTCACCAGATCCAGAAAGAAGGTACAGATTTCCTGGGAAAAGTGTTCATTCCAAACTAAGTCTCAAGAAGACTCTACCCTCAGTATTGGTCTTAGGTGGTTTGACTGTTGGGATGCTTATGACCGAGGCTGGAAGGAAGCTGTATGTGAACACGTGGCTCTATGGAACCCTCCTGGGATGCCTGTGGGTGACTGTGAAAGCGTAATCAGGTGCTGTCTCCAGTCATCGGAACATGCTGCACATTACACCAGGTTGTTTCCTGAATTAAGAAGTGTAAATAAAGCCTTGTTGATTGAACACTGGATAAGACAGAATTTGTATCTAAAGCCGGTATGCAATTGATCTTGAGCAAACATTCATGGTTTTTCAGCTTTAGTGCTAGCACTGCTGGGACAGTAAAAGCTGAGTGGAATTTATGCTATTCTTTACATTTCCTGTGAACTAATGTCAGCTCGCGAAGATGATTAGGGTTGTATAATTTGCTATTGTTTTGTCATTCAGATGGCTGTATTTTTAACATTAATTTGCAGCATATTTTATTACATTCATTTTTTTCCATTTTTTACAACTTGATGGCTCCAAGCTCTTCTCACTGAAGTATTCAGTATCTTGCAGCTCTGTAATATTGACTTTTTCTTGGTGTCTGCAAATTAATGAAAGAAATGGTATTTACATATCAAGATGTTCAAAGGAAAGGGCAAGAATGTTCATGGGGGAAGGAATGGTGTTAGTTCTGTTGCTGTTGTATTGTGTGATTTAGCTGATTGACTTTATGTTTGCAAAATAATGATGACCACTTCTAATACCAACTGAAACCTCTTAATTTACATACCTGCTACGCAAAAGAATAATGTACAAAATGTCAAAAGGACGTTTAAGTTAAAATTGTGACTCTGATTCACTGTGGCAAGACTTTGGGTTGCCCTGCTTTTGAAGATTGAAGCTACACTTTAGTACCTCCCAACATGTGTGCCATAAGTGCTTAAACACATTAAGGCTTCCTGTTGTTTTTATATCAGATAATCAGTGTGAACCTTCCTGGGCCTGATTGCACAGACAGATCCTCAAGGTGACCTGAGCTGTGGACATTGCCACTTGATTTGCTAGCATGTGCCTTCTCCCTATTTTTCTTTGGTTTAGCAAAGTGTGTGATCCAGAAATCATTTTTGTGTTCTTCTGGTAGCTTTCCACTGGTTTGTAGTCTTTTTCCTGTAGCATCCCTTCAGTGTGCTCAGCAGCTTGCCCCGCAGACTACAGTGCAGAAACGCAGAGCCAGCAGTGTTGCCCTGGCTCGGAGCAGAGCTCCTTAGCTGGTGCAGGTGAGCTTCCCTGGCTATTGCTGGGTCATTTTGCATTTGTTGTGTCACAAAATTCAACTTCTTTAAGCCAGTGAAATACAGACTGAGTGGATTTATTTATTCCAGTTAGTTTTAGTGGAGCTACACAGTTGACATGTGTCACTTGAGAACACGAGCTAACTTTGCAGTCACCAAGTCTCACGGTCTTATCCTGGAACAGCACCCTCAAGTGTGATCCACTCTGTTTCTATGTTACAGCTCAGAAATGATTGCCTGCTAGTACTTTCAGACAACACTTCTGCTGACAGCTGAGTGATTTTTGTTGCATCACTGCATCAGTGATCAGGATGAAATGTACCAATTGAATCAGGGTTTAAAAAAAAAAAAGGAGGGAATTGTTGCCAGCATTACATTGCTTTTCCAAAACCAGAGAATGAACCACCTCAAGCCACACCTTGGAAGAGCTGTGTAGCGTGAATTGACTTCTATTCATTAGTATGTACAAGTGCACAATATTCACAAACACAAACTCATTTCCACAGAATACAGTTAGTCTAATTACAAAGGTCAAACTTGTGCAGAGTATTCTCATGCTGAGTTGTAATTTTCTTTTACCCATAGAGTGAAGTTTAGGTCAGTCCCAGGCCTGTGTTAAACATGTATGTTTTAGCAGTCCTAATTTCAGAGCGTGTTTCTGATTGCATCAAAATGAGTGTGGGTTGTGAAACTTGAAACATCACAGACGTGCTCCACAGTGCAGTTTTAAGAAGCAGTATCCTTGCAACTATGTGGACCATAGCTGATTTTGTTAAAGGGCAGAGTGACTTGCATAAGGTCACTTGAAAATGGTATTTCTTAGGACTGTATAAATTCTTAAAAGGTCTATAAAATGTGGTGGTAGGAAAAAATGTATCAAAATGTTTGGAAAATTAGATGCTTCTTAACGTGGATTTTGTCTTGAATTAACTGTTTTTTAAAATTAAAAGCCCTATGCCTATCTATCAATCCTTTCACTATCATTGACACTTTTGTTTGTTTTACTATTGTTGATTTCTGGCTTAGTTGTTGCTTAGTTTTTCTTTATAAGAATGCATCAGAGCGCATGCTTTATGATTTTCAGACAAGGGTGTGTTTGGATGAAAGTAAAAAAAATAAAACCATTCACAGTCTCTGATGTCTGTGCTGTTTAATGTTTTGTGACCCCAATCTTCACCGTCACTTTTCTAGTTTCATAAAACAGGTGTACCAATTGACCCTGCATTTCGAATTTTTAAAACTATAATAGTTTTTCTAAGTATTGAGCAAAGTTTAAAAGAATTGAAATACCCAGAATTGTGAAATAGTATATATTCACCAACATAATTTCTAAGATGTATGGCTTTAAACTGTATAAACTCCTGTATATAACTTGTAAGATGGATGACCAGTATTAAATGCTTACCATTTCTGTAATCATAGAATGATTATGGTGAAACATGTCAAATGCCTAAAATAGCCAAGAAAAGTGCCAGTCTGGCTACTTCTTATGCATACTAATAATTTCTTTCATATGTTTCATTTTTAGAGTAACTTTCTTCTGTTATTTTGCATTTTTGCCCAAGCTAGCCTTGGACTATAATTCTCCTACCTATACAATTGCGTAGCTGGGATTCTGTACAGACATGCACGATCAACCTTGCATGTTTTGTTGAGATGGGATCTTGCTAACTTTTTGCCCAGGCTGGCCATGAACCACAGTCCTCCTGATCTTTGCCTCCTGAATAGCTGAGGTTACAGTCATGTAACTGCTATGCTCAGCCTCTTAATTCTCCTTTATATAGATTACACACAGATTATTTATGATATTACATGGCTTGTGCTTATCTTTTCTGAGTAGGTTTGTGTCAAATGACCCAACTAGATTGATCATTAACAAAAAATAGAAATAATATAAAATTTGCCAAAATGTAGATGCAACTAACTCCTGGATGTATACCAGATCCACATATGAGAAGACAGAAATGTCTATGTCTAATGAATGAAAGGAAATCTGATACCAGAGCAAACTCAGGAAGCATTTATGTTGATAACAGAGCAGGTCAGTTTTTCATCCAAATTCATAGAATCATGAATATAAAGGAAAAGTATATTATACAATTTTATAAATCTTCATATCTAAAAAACAGAAAGATGCTCTTGGTCTTCCCTGTCAACAAGAAATACTTGACTAATAGAAATTATACCGTGCATACTATCTGATCACAATGCAGTAAAAGTAGAACTCAGCAACAAAAGTAAAGACAAAAACCATGCAAACAGCTGGACACTAAATAACTCATTACTTAATGAAGAATGGATCATCGATGAAATAAAAGAGGAAATTAAAAAGTTCCTGGAAGTCAATGAAAATGAAAACACAACCTACCGGAACCTATGGGACACAGCTAAGGCAGTCCTGAGAGGAAAGTTTATAGCCATGAGTGCATCTATTAAAAAGACTGAAAGATCCCAAATCGATGACCTAATGATACATCTCAAACTCCTAGAAAAACAAGAACAAGCAAATCCCAAAACAAATAGAAGGAGAGAAATAATAAAAATAAGAGCTGAAATCAACTAAATAGAAACCAAAAAAACCATACAAAGAATTAATGAAACAAAAAGTTGGTTCTTTGAAAAAATAAACAAGATCGATAGACCCCTGGCAAACCTGACTAAAATGAGGAGAGAAAAAAACCCAAATTAGTAGAATCAGGAATGCAAAAGGGGAGATAACAACAAACACCATGGCAGTCCAGGAAATCATCAGAGACTACTTTGAGAACCTATATTCAAATAAATTTGAAAATCTTAAAGAAATGGACAGATTTCTAGATACATATGATCATCCAAAACTGAACCAAGAGGAAATTAATCACCTGAATAGACCTATAACACAAAATGAAATTGAAGCAGCAATCAAGAGTCTCCCCAAAAAGAAAAGTCCAGGACCTGATGGATTCTCTGCTGAATTCTATCAGACCTTTAAAGAAGAACTGATACCAACCCTCCTTAAACTGTTCCATGAAATAGAAAGGGAAGGAAAACTGCCAAACACATTTTATGAAGCCAGTATTACACTTATCCCAAAACCAGACAAAGACACCTCCAAAAAGGAGAACTATAGGCCAATCTCCTTAATGAACATTGACGCAAAAATCCTCAACAAAATAATGGCAAACCGAATTCAACAACACATCAAAAAGATTATTCACCATGACCAAGTAGGCTTCATCCCAGGGATGCAGGGGTGGTTCAACATACGAAAGTCAATAAACGTAATAAACCACATTAACAGAAGCAAAGACAAAAACCACTTGATCACCTCAATAGATGCAGAAAAAGCCTTTGATAAGATCCAACACCATTTCATGATAAAAGCTCTAAGAAAACTAGGAATAGAAGGAAAGTACCTCAACATTATAAAAGCTATATATGACAAACCTACAGCCAGCATTATACTTAACGGAGAAAAACTGAAACCGTTCCCTCTAAAATCAGGAACCAGACAAGGATGCCCACTATCTCCACTCCTATTCAACATAGTACTGGAATTCCTAGCCAGAGCAATTAGGCAAGAAGAAGGAATAAAAGGAATACAAATAGGTAAAGAAACTGTCAAAATATCCCTATTTGCAGATGACATGATCCTATACCTTAAAGACCCAAAACACTCTACTCAGAAGCTTCTAGACATCATCAATAGCTATAGCAAGGTAGCAGGATATAAAATCAACATAGAAAAATCATTAGTATTTCTATACACTAACAATGAGCAAACTGAACAAGAATGTATGAAAACAATTCCATTTACAATAGCCTCAAAAAAAATCAAATACCTAGGTGTAAACCTAACAAAAGATGTGAAAGACCTCTACAAGGAAAACTATAGACTTCTGAAGAAAGAGATTGAGGAAGACTATAGAAAGTAGAGAGATTTCCCATGCTCATGGATTGGTAGAATCAACATAGTAAAAATGTGTGTACTCACAAAAGTAATCTACATATTTAATGCAATTCCCATCAAAATTCCAATGACATTCATTAAAGAGATCGAAAAATCTACCGTGAAATTTATATGGAAACACAAGAGGCCACGAATAGCCAAGACAATACTCAGTCAAAAGAACAGTGCAGGAGGTATCACAATACCTGACTTCAAACTATATTACAAAGCAATAACAATAAAAACAGCATGGTACTGGCACAAAAACAGACATGAAGACCAGTGGAACAGAATAGAGGACCCAGATATGAAGCCACAAAACTATAACCAACTTGTCTTTGACAAAGGACCTAAAAATATACGATGGAGAAATAGCAGCCTCTTCAACAAAAACTGCTGGGGAAACTGGTTAGCAGTCTGCAAAAAACTGAAACTAGATCCATGTATATCACCCTATACCAATATTAACTCAAAATGGATCAAGGATCTTAATATCAGACCCCAAACTCTAAAGTTGATACAAGAAAGAGTAGGAAATACTCTGGAGTTAGTAGGTATAGGTAAGAACTTTCTCAACAAAACCCAAGCCTTGTATGCACATATGAATAATAAAATAAAAAAAAATAAAATAATTTGCTAGAGACAAAAAAAAGAAATACTTGACTAATTTATCTTTATTTCTTTATTTTTTTTTCAGAAAAAATTCTAACTTAATGTTAAGGTTTTTTAGTGCTTTGTTAATTAAAAGAAAATGAAAAGATGGACCTGAAAAGTTAGTTGCTTGGGGATAAAAATCTGGTGATTAAAACCATTTTGCCTATGCATTGAGA